GTCTGCCTGCGGGAGCAGGAGGGGCCGGGGCGAGCGGGACCGGGAGCAGCGCCCGCGCTCCAGCCTCCGCCTCTCCTCCCCGGCACAGCTCGACCACCAAGGTGATGAGACTGTCCATCCTGGCAGACCTCCACGTGGAGATGAACCCCAAAGGCAACCTGGAGCTGGCGACCTCTGCCTGCAAACCCACCGTGGAGGAGATGCAGAGCACCGAGGAGGTGGAAAGGTCGACCCCGCAGTTTTCCTTGTTATGGAATCTGGGTAACAGGGGGAAAGAGGCACAAGCATTTCTAGGCAGGAAGGTGATATGACTAAGATCTGCTTGCTGCCCTAAAAGCTTACAAAGGTTAACACAAAAACATTATCTTCATGGGAGGAACTTCCTTCTGCTTGCAGGGTTGGCTCCCCCCCATTTTAAGAGAGTTTCATTCTCTCATAAGGGAGCAGATCTTTTAGTGTAGCAGGAACATTTTTAGTGCAAGTCCAACAGCAATTCTTCAGCATTTTAGGATTCTGAGTTGTAATCATAGCTTAATAGATGATAGAAAATAATGGTAATGCTGCCTCTGGATGTCTTTTGGGTCAGATAAAAGACGCTCACCTACCCTTGGCTGAGCTGGTTCTCCCCTAACTTCTTCCATTCTGTTGTTTTCATCCAGCAAGTCCTCCAGTTCAGAAGCAGACAAGGAGATTAATCTCGATAAGGTAAGATAAAGTTTGTAAGGGCGTGAGACAGGAGAGGACAAAGCTGTGCAGGTCTGTAAGCATTAGAGCACCTTCAGTCAACCTGGTGCTTTGCCGGGTCTCCCCCGCAGCCCCGCGGTCACAGGACGCTCCCATCCTCTGTCTCCCGGCTGCCGCATGGCCGGCCCATGGGGATGCGCGCGCCAGAGGTGTTCAGGGAACGCCTGATGCCAGCAGACCCTCCTCTTCATCTACCACCTCTCTTTTTGTTCTTTATTCCATAGATTTGCCTGGAAGTCTCCAAATTGCTGCTTTTGCCGAACGAACAGCTGATTTCTCTGACAGGTGAGCATTTGGCTTTCAGTCTCCATAGGACTAAAGGCTTCGGGGCTCATTTTGGAGCAGGTCACAAGATGGGATGGGCTCCCACCCTGCAGCAGAAACCCAGCAGCAGCAGCTCTGCCACCATCATCTCCCCAGGACCCGCTTCCCCCGCCCGGCTCTCTTTCCCCGTCTCTACTTGGGAAACCCAGGCGCTTCCCACACCACTGCTCCCCTCCTCTTTCTGAGCGTCCCTCTGCTCGGTTTGCAGCTCTGTTCCCCGTCACGCCGAGCTGCCAGGTCCAGTACCTGCCCCTGGCTGCGCCCGTGTTCTCCGACCAGGGAATCACCATCTCCTTGCAAGTAAGTCCTCATTTTCCAGCACTCACAGCTCAGCTCCAGGCTTTGGGAGAGCTGCTTCCTCCCAGTGCTATGTGCCGTGAGGCACCTCAAACTCCTTCCCTTCTTGCCCCTGTCCCTGCAGACGACTTTCCAGGTGGCGGGGATGGCAATCCCCCTGCCAGTCAGCCCCGTGCCATTCAGCATGCCCAAGACGGCGAGCTCCAGCCCTTCCCACCTCACCCTGGCTTTCTCTGAGCACTTCTACACCAGCCTCTTCTTTGCCCTGGAAACGGCTGGAGCTTTCAACATGACCATCCCGGTGAGTAGAGCAAGCAAGGAGTAGAAAATTTGCATGGCACGAACGGCTTGGAGGAGCTGTGTGCCCTGCAAAGGAATGAGAGTTTGTCTCCGAGTGCCCATGGGAGTCACAGCCCCCAAGACTCCCAAATAGATTGCTGGTCTAATGATGCACGGAGAATTTGCCGTGAAGAGTAACCAGAATGCTGCTCCTGGCACGTGCTGGTGCGCAGGAAGGCTCCCGTACGTACCCGTGTGCGGCACAGCGCTCACCGCAGGGGCCGTGCTGGACACGAGCCCGGAGCAGCAGCCCCAAGCAGCCGTCACTTGGATCACAAGCTGCGCTTTGTCTTTCAGAGCCTGCTGACCACCGCCACCGTGGCACAGAAGATTACTCAGGTTCGTCGCTGTCGCTCCGAGAGGCACGGCCCCAGCTCAGGCAGAGCCCCCAGTCCCCTGCCCGCTACCCCAGGGGTGCAGGGGATGGCTGCTGTACCCAGAAATACCCCCCCTCCCTCGGCAGATGGGCTCCCTCTACCAGGAGGACCTGCCAGTGGTGCTGCAAGCCGTGTTCAGGAGCTCACCTCAGGTGGTGCTGGAGGAAGGCAAGGCAGCCCTGAAGCTCTTCTTCACCATCCATGCTGGGGCAGGCTCACCAGCTTTCCAGAGCTTCGTGAGCGTGAACGTGGTGAGTGTGCCCTGCGAGCGTGCCAAGGATGCTCTGCAAGCGTGCCTGGGCTGCACACAGGCAATGCCCTTTGCTCCGAGAGCCGGCCCGACTGCAGCCCTTGCAGGGCACTGATTCAGCCTTTACCTGCCCCAGTGCTCACGGTCCCGAGCAGCGTTTGCCTCTTGCATAGAGCAGGGCGCGAGGAGCACGTTGCAGGTGGCAGCACACGGACGGGTTCATCGCACCACACTATTCAAAGCCGAAGCAGGACCGTTTGCTCACCCTGATCCTGCCCTCTCTTGTCCCCTTGCAGGATATGTCTGCAGGACTCCGCATTGGTGTTGCCGACACAAGGATGACGATCTCTGCAGCAGTGATAGAGTAATGAACCCAGCTATGCTCCGAGTCCTCGAAGGGGACATGTCCCACTCATAGCAGGGAAAGGAGAGGCAAAGCGGTCCGGGGAATTTCTTAGCTTTTATGGTTTGGGCACTGCAGAGGTAGCTCTATCCCGAGGGAAATGGTGGGACTCCAGTAACATGGTTAGAGGGAAAAGTGGAAATCGCACCCTCCCACGTTCAGCACAGGCG